ATAGAACAAATTTTCTGTGGCCCCAGCCCACCCTGGTAGCAGCAGCTGGTGGTAAGGGCAGAGGTGGAGGGCAGCAGGCAGCAGCTGCAGCTCCAGCACCAATTCCATGTCAGAGCCAGAGCAGCAACCTGTGCCCCCACAACTTCATACTTGATTCCAAAAAAAGTGGCTCCCTCCCTGACCATTTAACTAGGGAAAAAAACCTTGTCTTGTAACTGGGTAAATATGGTAGCTCCCACATTACTAACTAACATAAATCCTTCTAACTAAGGCATTCTGTAGCCAACTAAAGAAGTCTTTACCAACAAAGGAAAACTGGGTGGCAACCTTTAGAAGCCGTGGCTGGAAGAACCTAGCCCCAATACAGTGCCACTGAAGCCACCTGCCCTGCACATCAGCAGCAGGGCCAGGTGCTGCTGCCACTTCTTCCAGCATCCCCCTCTCCCCCCAACCTCAGGGCGTGAGTGCAGTTTCCAGACAGCAGGGAACTGAGTCGGGAATAGGCAGCTGGAAGCCTGCTCCTGCCTGCCACTTTTTCCCCCCACTCTCCCACCCCCCAGCTCCATGGGCATGGCTGAAAGCTGAGCCCATACTGCAGCCAGATGGGTGTAAGGGGGAGAAAGCATGGGGTAGGGGGAAGCAGTGGCAGTGCAGATGCAGCTCTCAGCTGTCTATCCCTAGCGCAGCTCCTTACTGCCCAGCTCCAGCATGGCAAAACCCTCTGGCTCTGTGGGCCAGGTGTGGTGGTTCCACAGGCCAAATGTTGCCAATGCCTTATCTAAAACAACTCACTAAGACCATGAACTACCCCCCCCAGGCTTTTTAGAAAAGTTCTGTCACCATTTTCTATTTGTACTGTATTCTGAAGTCATAACTATACCCAAACTGAATTGTTTAACCCATGGCACAAGGCACTAAGTAAATTGTTGAGGATGGAGAAGCTATTCTAATGAAATTTACATTTAGCTAAGGGAGCCTGGGTACACAGCTTTGTTAGATTTAAAGCTAACACAAGGGTGGAACGTGTGCTCTATTTTATAGGCAGGTAAAGCAGCCACACTTCTGGTAGCATTCAAATCAATTGTAAATGACATTATTAAAGGGCTAAAATCTTGAACTAGAGCACTTAAGACATTACATAAAGAGACAATGTTCTCAAAGTGATATTTATTTTACTCATAGCAAATCTCTTTTTAGAGAAACTGTTATATTTACTGTCATTTGTTTCCCCCTAGAAGTCCTACTGATGGGATATAAGAAAAATCTAAAGTCTGGCAGGTGCCTTTGAAAATGTATTTATATACACTACTAAGTAACATGAATGCTTTGCTAGCAGTTTCACATATTATTCTATTTGGTTTTAATCAGATTATTTATCTTCGCAAGCATGAGGATTTTTTTTTTTTAATGCTCTTAGAGAGTCCTTCCCAGGAGAAAAGATGAGGAGAGTTGCAAAGTTCTTTTGCCAAACACAGTAATGGAGAAGATACTGTTAAGGCAATTCAACACAGAGGTTCAATGCTTCCAGTAAAGAAGTGAAAGTAGATGCTTTAAAAAGAAAACAGCAATGCTCTCTCAGTAGTGCCATTCTAGACCTAGGTAGCTTTCCCAAAACCTGCTATCATAGTCATAAATATTGCAAAGTATCTCAGAACTTTAAATACAGATTGTATTAGACTCTATAACAAAAAAAATCCTGATACAAGTGTATCATTCTACTCAGCTGCTCCACATATTTACAGTAGGAATTTTAGTCAGTTCCTACCAAAAAACCCCAAGTCATACCGTTTTAAAGCTCTTTGCTGTGCTCATATGGAACTAGTTCTCTGCCCTTCATCTCTTTATGTTTCAAGGTCATCTTTAAGTCCTTTTAAGACTGTTGGTTCAGCTTAATTACTCATTCAAATCCAGTTAAGACAAAGCCTGTTGAGCACTTTATACTGTCCCACTATCTTTCTGACCCATGTTCATCCTTCTGTTTGGTTTGGTTTGGCTATGCTTTCATTTCATAATATTGTTCCACTCTAGGTTCAATAGGAGGGACTCATCTGCAGAACCACTCCCAATCTTGAAAACAGAACAATCACTGCCATTTTGTCTGTTCAGCTCAGTTCTCTCCGCTTCAAGCTGTTTGCAATAAGTCTTCAGCATGAAAACAACTTCAGTGTGACCCACACACTAAACAGCATTTTTAAGCATACACTGCAACAAATCTACCATTTTTATCTTCTTCATATATCAATTAAAATTGCTATTATTAAATATCAATGTTACTAGCCCTACCTTCTTTGGACAGGCATAAAGACACACCAACCTCAACATATAGGCAGAAGTCCCTTCATCAAGGTGGTGCCATCTGCAGCTTTATCTTTAAAAGGCTTGAACAGGCTAATACAGTAGCAACTAGAGGACTAGCTGCAAACATGTCTTGCTAAGGTACATGTGTTATAACACGGTGGCAAACCTGTGCTCATGCCAGAATTAAAGCTACAAAGAAAGATTTTTCTTCCCCCTTCTTTTAAATGTCTTCTAAACTGTGAGGGTGAGAACACGGAACAAGACAGACAAAAATGGATCCCAGAAACAGAGTAATGTTGAGGTCCACCTAACAGTTGAGCTGGGAAACACCTTTCTGGGCAACCTACAGCCATTGA